TTCATTTACTGTTTATTTTTAATTTTTTATTTATCGTGTTAGTTTTATTCGATTGTTAGTTTTTAATTTCTAGTTTTATTTTTATTTTTATTTTATTTTTAAGTTTTAGCATAGAATTTCTTGAAAAAAGAAGAATAAGAAAAATCATAAAAAAAAAAAAAAGAAAATCTGAGCAAAGTCCGTGACTTGAGAGGGAGAAGACGGCAGGAAAAATTGAGAGCAAGGGAGAGAGCTGAAGTTCTGTGAGGAAAAGAAACCGAGAGTTGACGGCTGTGGAAATAACAGAGATTACGGGGCTAAGACAGATTGGGAGTGAAGGCCTAAAAAGGGCATCGGGCAAAAGAAAAGAAAGGCCGAAGAGGGGAGGGTGAGGAACCAGAAAATCAGGGGCGGCGGACAAAAGGAAAACAGAGTAACCGCCGCAATCCACCACCCAAACCCTCCGATACTCAGATCAACGAAGCTACCACTGTCGGCTGCTACTGATCCTACCATCATCAACTTCATGGTCCAGCAGCAGCAGCAGAGACTTGTTGCTTACCAGACGTTCTTTAAGACTCCGCCCGCTGCTCCTGCTGCTACCAATCGGAAGCCCCTTCCTAATTCAGGCATTCAGCATCACCCTGACATCAACGGCAATGGACCGCCTAACTTGAATCCGCCACCATTGCTTGCAAGCCTTCATTGGAGAAGCACGGAATCTGGGTTTGAGGAAAAACCAGAGGAAGAGGAAACAAACCGATGGACGAAGGGATGGTGTCGCTGAAGTTTCAGAAATGACTCGCCGCCAGCATCCTGAGTGTAGCGTCAGAGGCAAGGTCTGGCTAGCCAAGCAGTCAGCGAAGTTTCCATGGCCAAATCCAGATTGAAGAAGGTAAGCCGCTGAAGAAGCATGGAACTTCCCCGAGGAGAGCTGACCTGATCAGCTCGGTGTGCTGATGGAAGAGCTGACTCCAAGCCTGCAAAACAGAAAGGGTGAGCTGACAGAGGGGGCCCGAGGGTTGACCCCGAGGGCACTCCGACGGTCAAGTTAGTTTTCGGTGAGTAGAGTTCACGGGAAGTAGTAACAACCGGAGTAATTTGCCTATAGTGAGCGTACCTTGTACAGTTGACGTGTGCTACCATTAATACCTGCGAGGGAGTCCAACCTCCGTATGTCTCGCGGACCTGCCCGGATTAGTCGGTATCCCGCACTCAGGGGATTGTCCCCGACCTCTTCGGATGAACCCTTGTCCTCGGGAGCCTAGTGGTGCGGCCCAGGTCGGCTGCCAGGGGCCAGGGGCCGAAGCCCAGCTCGGCCTTGTCTGGGCTGCCACGTGTCCAGGCCCAGGACGGGGCCACTGCACTAGCCCCTTTGTTAGGTAGGCTGTCAGGCCGACCTAATCTATACTCTGCTACGTGGGAGACCAGCGTCGTGCATGCCGTGGGAGAGACCGGCATAAATTGCCACTGACATGGTTTAGCCCCGATTTTAAAGATTTGAGCCTTGCCGACCTCGTTGTGGCCGAGCATCATACTTTGAAGGCAGTCACGCCGACCTCCTGGGTCGAGCGTCAACTCTGATTTAGGATATGCCAACCTCTTGGGATCGAGCATACATTCTCCAGGCAGTCATGCCGACCTCCTGGTCGAGCATTACATTTCCAAGGCAATTATGCCGACTCCTGGGTCGAGCGTTGAACTCCCTGATTTTGAAATGCTCAAAGTAAGTCACGGCGTGCCGACCTCTTGGGTCGAGCCGTCAGGCGTCGAGCTCCTTTCCGCCGACCTCCTGGGCCGAGCTTCCCCGGGGCTCGGGGAAGGGACCTAGGAGGTCTATCCCCATTGAGCGAAGGGCCAAGGACTGTGGATGGAACCATCTCCGAGCTGGCTGATAGCGCAGCGAGCGTGCACCTGGCAAGCTCGGCATTTCTGGACCAAATCTGCGCGTCTCGAAGACGGAAGGCCAATAGTAGCCCAAAAGGAGGCACTTTTTGGCCAACACCCGGGACCCGACGTGTGCCGCACATATACTTCATGGATTTCGCGCAGAACGTAGTCACCTTCCTCGGGCGTCACGCACTTTAGCCAGGGGACAAGTACGACCTCCTATAGAGGTTCCCCCGGCGTAGGCGTACTTGGCAGCTCGATTTGGATTCGGCGAGCCCCGGTTTTGTTCTCGGGGAGGGCACCGAGCTGAAGAAGTCAATTAGGGAACATCCAGGTGGCCGAGCTGTCTATCGCCAGGACCTGGACCTGGTCGATACTTTTCTGCTTCACCACCTCTACCAAGACCTCCTTGCTCAGGTGGGCGAACGAGGAGGACGCCAGCTTGGACAAGGCGTCCGCGCGCTTGTTTTGGACCTCGGCACCCGCTCAATCTCAAAGGTCTCGAACAGGGCTACCGCCTCTCGTACCTTAGCCAGGTATTTCTTCATTACTCGTCCTTGCCTCATCCCCCGACGGATGCGAGGACGACGAGCCGAGAGTCGCTTCGAACCCGGATCGCGGTGATGCCCATCTGGTGGGCTATCCGCAACCCGTCAACAAGGCCTCGTACTCTGCCTCGTTGTTGGACGCAGGGGTCGAACCTAAGCGCATAGGTCAGTTCTTCCCCGTGGGCAAGGTGAGCAGCAGGCCAGCTCCGTTCCTTCCTTGCTCGAGGCGCCACGAACAGCACCCACGGCTCCTCAGCCGGGTGTCCGGGGCGTCGGGTAACTGGTCAGGTTCAAGTCAGCCTCAGCAAGGAAGTCTGCCAAGGTTGAGCCTTGATCGCGGTGCGAGGCCAATAAGTGAGGTCATGCTCGGCCAGTTCGACGGCCCACTTGGTCATCCTGCCCGAGACCTCGGGCTTAGTGAGTATCTGGCGCAAGGGCTGGTCGGTCAGGACTACGATGCTGTGAGCTTGGAAGTAAGGGCGGAACTTGCGAGCGGCATGTACCAAGGCAAGGACCAGCTTTTCCGCGGCGTGTACCTCGTCTCTGGCCCTGTAGGCACGGCTAATGTAGTACCGGTCTCTGAGCCCCCGTCCTCCCGCACTAAGACCGCGCTGATGGCCTCGTTGCAGGCGGACAGGTAAAGGAACAGAGTCTCTCCTAGCTCCGGGACGGTCAAAGTGGGCAGCTCAGCCAGATAGGCCTTAAGGTCGGTGAAGGCTTCTGGCACTCCTCCGTCCAGTGAAAGTCCTTAGGCGCTTTTAGCACTCGGAAGAAGGGCAGCCCCCTGACCGCGGAGCGCGAGAGGAACCTACTCAGGGCGGCCATTCTCCCTGTGAGCCGCTGGACTTCCTTCACGTTCCTTGGAGGAGCCATGTCTATGATAGCCTGTAACTTATCCGGGTTGGCCCAGATTCCGTCTCGGGATACCAGGAAACCGAGAAACCTCCCCGATCTGACTCCAAAGGTGCACTTCTTCGGATTTAAGTGCATCCGGCTCTTCAGTAAGATGTCCAAGATCTCCCGCAGGTCGGGTATGAGCCGCTGGTCAGTTCGACTTTTGACGATCATGTCATCGACATAGACCTCCATGCTTCTGCCGATCTGGTTTTGGAACAACTTGTTGACCAGGCGCTGGTAAGTGGCTCCCGCGTTCTTCAACCCGAACGGCATGGTCCTGTAGCAGTAGGTTCCCTCCTCGGCGATGAAGGAGGTCTTGTTCCGATCCTCCTCAGCCATCTCTATCTGGTGATATCCCTTAAAGGCATCCAGGAAGCACAAAACGTCAAAACCCACAGTAGAGTCTACTAACCTGTCGATTCTAGGGCAGGGGAAAGCAGTCCTTCGGCAGGCTTTGTTAAGGTCCGTGAAGTCTACGCACATCCTCCAGGTCTGGTCGTCCTTCCTGACCAGAACGGGATTGGCCAGCCAGGTCGGGTAGTAGACCTCCAGGATGATCTTGGACTCCAGCAACTTGCCAACCTCCGCCTTGATCACCTCATTCCTCTCGGGGCAAAGATCCTTTTCTTCTGCTTCACTGGCTTGAAGTTAGGGTCACGTCGAGGTGATGGGACTGTCAGGTCTGTAGGGATCCCAGGCAAGTCCTCCACCGTCCACGCGAAGACCTGGGAGTACTCTCTCAACAAAACCTTCAAGCCTTCCTTCTCCTCGGCTGCAGCAATGCCCCGATGCGGATGACCTGATCGGGCCGATCCTCCCTTAGGGGGAACTCCTCAATCTCATCCTGGGTGCCCAGCTGTTGGGCCTCATCTCCTGGGATGTAGGGCTCCAAACAGGTTGTCTGGGCGACCACCTTCTCCTGCCCCCGGAGCGTGGCTAGGTAGCAAGCCCTGGCTACCTCTGGGTCGCCACGCACCTCGGCTATCCCCCCAGGGGTAGGGAACTTGAAGCTGAGGTGGAAGGTAGAGGGAATAGCCCGGAGGGCGTTTAAAGCAGGTCTCCCCAAGAACACATTGTACGGGGAAGACTGCTTGACCACCACGAAGTTAACTGAACGGTCGCGCATTTGGGAGCCTGTCCTACAGTGACATCAGGGTGATCATCCCTTCCGAGCTGATGGGTGGTCCGGTGAAGCCCACCAAAGGCGTCCGGACCGGGTCAGCTGGTCATCCCTTAATCGCGGCTCCTTGAACACACGATAGAATATAATGTCCACCGCGCTACCCTGGTCGACATACACCTTCTTCACCTGGTAGTTGTTGGTAACAATGTCTATCACGATGGCCTCGTGGTTCCCGGAAGCCAGGGGGACTGCATCCCTTGGTCCGAAGGTAATCTCTCCTCGTCCATGCAAGCGCTTCAAGGAGTCGTCCCCTTCGGGAGGTGGTCGCTTGTTCTCTCCGAGCTGCATGACTGTCCCCCCCCGTGGGGCCTCCGGCGATGGTGTTTATCACTCCGCGCAGGTTCTGGGGTCTTGGTCGGGAGAGGGGCCCTGAGGAGCGTCACGTGCTCAGGCGGTCGCGTCGCCGTCCTCATCGCGTCGCCGCTCAGTTGCGCCCGAACTCCTGACCTGGTCGGCGCACGAACCTCCCTAGAAAGCAGCGCTGGATCAGGTCTTCTATCTCCTTACGCAGGGCCCAGCATCCCTCCGTGTCGTGCCCGAGTCGCGGTGAAAGGCGCTGTACCTTTCCTGGTTCCTTTTGTTCCGGGCTTCCCCATCTTGGGCGGCCTATCTCCCAGTCCTTCCGCCTCATAACCACCAAGATCTGGGTTCTGGGCCGTGTTAGAGGGGTGTAGGTCTTCTCTGGGAGTGGTGGCAGAGCAGGGGTCTTCTCCTTCGAGAGCCGGTCGAAGACGTTTCTCTTGGCGGGACCCTTGCCTCTGGGGGGTTTTCCGATCTTTCCGATCTCCTAGCTCCCGATCTGATTCTTTCTTCAGACGACCTGCCTCCTCCGCATTAGCGGCCTCATGCGCCCTGCGTAAGAGCTCCTCCAGGTTTACGGAGGCTTCTTGGCCAGGTCGTAGAAGAGCTCCTCTACCCTGAGCCCATTTGTGAAGGCGACCATGACCACTTTTCGTCTTTGTCCCTGACCTGCAGGCTCTCCGCGTTGAAACGGGTCATGAAATTCCTCAGCGACTCATCGGGCCTCTGTCTGATGGACATCAGGTGAGTTGCGTTCCTCGCGTAGACCTTCGAGGAGACGAACTGGGCTGCAAACTGCCGGGCCAGCTCAGGAAAGCTCCGTATAGACCCCGGTTTCAGCCCCTGGAACCAGAGCCGTGCCTTCCCCTTTAGGAACATAGGGAAGGTCTTGCAGCGGACCTCATCCGCGGTGGTTTGCAGGCGCATATGCGTCAAGAAGACCGAAAGGTGGTCCTCCGGGTCTGTAGAGGCATCGTACATCTCGATGCTCGGAATCTTAAACCTCCGGGTAGGGGTAGTCCTCTATCTCCCGGTAAAAGGCGAGGTTGCGTAGTTGTCCTCGTACTGCGCCGGGCCTCAAGATCTGCTCGAGCTCATCCCGAGCAGGGTCCAATGAAGGAGGTCCCGGGGTCGGCTCTTGACGGACCGAGCAGGGAAACGCTCGAGCCCATTCCGTGCGAGCTTCCGTGAGGAGGGGTCTCTCGGACGGCTCCTCGCGGATCGGTCGCGAGAATACCTCTCGCTGTCTCCGACCACCGAGGCTCGCGGGCGAGATGGAGTTCGTGGTTGTTTCCTTCTGGGGGGCTGGTCTCGGGACTCATCCTCCGAAGGGTCAGGGGGTAACTCTTTCTCCTTCCCCTTGGCTTGGAAGACTGCGCACCCCTAGCCCTATCTCCCTCCTTCGCCTGTCGAATTATGTCCTCCAGCATGGGGAGATTCTCCGTCACGAACTGGAAGATCTGCTGCCTCCGTTCCCCTGAGAGGGCTGATCCCCGGCTCCCTGAGACGCCTCAGCCTCCTTCCGCGGGGACCCCTCACCGCTCCAAGGCCGGTGCTCTCTATCGTGCGCTTGGATCGCGTCCTGGCCATCAACACAAATCTTACTTACCTTATGATTCCCACAGACGGCGCCAACTGAAGAAGCACGGAACTTCCCGAGGAGAGCTGACCTGATCAGCTCGGTGTGCTGATGGAAGAGCTGACTCCAAGCCTGCAAACAGAAAGGGTGAGCTGACAGAGGGGCCGAGGGTTGACCCGAGGGCACTCCGACGGTCAAGTTAGTTTTCCGGTGAGTAGAGTTCACGGGAAGTAGTAACAACCGGAGTAATTTGCCTATAGTGAGCGTACCTTGTACAGTTGACGTGTGCTACCATTTATACCTGCGAGGGAGTCCAACCTCCGTATGTCTCGGGACCTGCCGGATTAGTCGGTATCTCGCACTCAGGGGGATTGTCCCCGACCTCTTCGGGATGAACCCTTGTCCCCTCGGGAGCCCTAGTGGTGCGGCCCAGGTCGGCTGCCAGGGGCCAGGGGCCGAAGCCAGCTCGGCCTTGTCTGGGCTGCCACGTGTCCAGGCCCAGGACGGGGCACTGCAGCCGCCATTGTCTTTCAAATTCAGTTTTATTCAAGCTTTCAAAGCCTATTTTGTATTTTATTTTCACGTTTGTGGCTAGTAGCAAATTTTCTGTTAGTTATCATGAACTGGAAGTATGTCTGTTTTGGATGTCGATTGGACTGAAGTTTTCCTGTGTTTTGACAAAATTTTGGGGCTGAATATAGCTTTAGTTGAGTAGAAGATTAGTAAAATTTCTGATGCCTCAACCTGTTCGACGAATTGCCTGAGAAACTTTGATGTATTGCTATCTTGCATCTTTCTTTTTCCGTTCCCTTATGCTTCCCATCTTCTGGATTTTGTTGTCTGTTACCGAATTTGGCATGTCCTTGTTTGCGAAGAAAGCTGAAATGGCATCTGATGTGTTTTGATCTTCAATAGTTTAATGTTCTTGATTTGGGTGTGTTAATCAAAAGGGGTTGTGATAATCAAAGGGAATTTGTCTCATTAGAGCTCCAACTCAAGGGAGGTATAACTTCTTTTATCTTTTTTGTCTCTCCTATGTGAACCAACGTGCTACGTGAGAAATACATGTCTACTTTGCTTTCCTAGCCTTTCTTTAATTTCTTTTATTTATGTCATTTACTTTTGCTTTTTATTTAAGTTATTCTTTGTGGGGTATGTGTACACCTCTTGGCTTGTAATAGTTAGGGATTTAATTATTTTATTCCTTTTCCCCCTTTTAGATTGTAGTAGGGTCTCCCTAATGTAATAGATAGGGCTTGGAGGAGCATTCAATGAAGACCTATCGAAGTCATGTGCCTAGCTAGCAAATGTAATAGTTAGGGCTTTAATTGTCTTATGTGTCTTGCATGCTTACTTGCTACGTGTTAATTTGCTTTGTTAGGGCCTTGCATCTAGTCGAGCATGCTAAATGTTATGTGCTATGTGTTTATGAGTATTTGGCATGTCTACTCGCTTTCCATAGCCATGAATGAATGTGATGGATGAATGTACGTTTCCGCTAGTCCAACGCTAGTCGGAATTCATAGAATGGGCTAGTCCAACGCTAGACCCTTAGAGATTCCCCTCGTTAGTACATGTTTGCATGTTCATTACATGTCATGCATTCTTTTTAGTTTTTATCATTTTTCATGCCCCTCGAACCCCCTTTTCCCTCCATTTTAGAATTTTTGTATTTCATGCTAGTTATAGGGTTCATTTGCTTGAGAGTCCCCTTAAATATGGGATATAGACGAGTGTGGCTTTTTCTAAGCCTTAGCACGCTTGTATTCCCTCTATAAAAGGGCAAATTGAGTCACGATTTAGGTCTCCCCGTACCCAATATGCGTGAATTCCCTAGGCTCATGCATTTTTTAAATCCACTCTACCATTTATACACTCATCACACGTTCATTTTCCTCCCATTTTGCACACGTGCACCTTTATGTTTCTTCACTTGCACACGAACACTTTTATCATCACTTGCACACATGCACTTCATATTATCATTGCACATACCGTACCTTGCCCACTCACATGCACATTTTCATTTACATATTTATTGTTTTTTATTACTTTTTCAAACTCATGTCCTCACATTGCATATATGCATTCCATTCATTTGCATCCCACTCGCATTATTCGTGATTTCTTCAAAGGATCGTTATTGGGCTTCACAATTAATGTGATTGGCACCACTCAATCTTTGAAGAGAAATTTCCCCCAATACCCCTAGGTCTAGGGTTTTGCATTCATGTAGTGCATCCAAATGTAATAAATTTTTGGTTAAAACAAGAAAATCTTTGATTAAATCACGCAACTAGCCTTGGCTAGGTCGAAGGGGTGCCTTGGATTTTTATCCTTGCCTTCCCCTTCGTCAAATGTGACTCCCGAACCTTTTTCGTTGGTTTACGTGGACTAGGAGTCGTTTAAAAGGGGTTTCTTACTACTTTTTCCTATTTTTTCTTTAAAAATTCATTTTTAGGTGACTTGGTACACCTTAAGTCAAGAAAGCATATGTTCGTTTATCTCCTGACTACGTTGCTTTGGATGTGGCAAACAAGATTGGAATAATATGAATGAATTTAGTCATTGTTTTGTTTTCGATCAAAGATATTGTCTTTTAAGTATGTCTAGTTTGTCATTCTTGGTACTTTGAAATATTTGTCTAACCTTCCTCAAATACAAGTGTTTTTTGTCTATCCAAGAATCAGGTTCAAATATGTCATGAAATGTAAAACAACCAAAATGAGAAGCAAAAACAGGACAATCAGGTCGGACGGCCGAAAGGAAACTGTCGGACGTCCGAAAAGATAAAGAACATCAGGAAGGAAGCACCGTCGGACGCTCACATGGAAGCATCGGACGTCCGGAAGGATCGGACGCTTGCCATCGGACGCTAATCAACCGCATCGGACGTCCGAAAAATTCCAAGATAACTTGCTAGCTCTCGGCCCAAGGTCGGACGCTGTGCTGTCGGACGACAAAGAACTTATCGGACGTCCGAACCTCAACTTGGCTATCATCGGACGATTGGTTCGGACGATGATTCGATCGTCGGACGTCCGACAGCCCCAACGGCTAGTTGACTCTTCAGCTGCCTTCTATCCGTTGGAAGCATTGATGAAGCCCATTTCTGGATCCCTTTAAAATCAAACTGGTCTGAACGAAGTAGTGACTTTTGCTCACTTTGTTTACAAGTTCTCAAGAGATATTTTAGCTAGAAAATAGTCTCCAAAGCAGATTTGTATTAAAGTGGTGTGAATTTCTGTTGAGCATTTCTTTTGTGGTTGAAAGGATCTTTAGTGTAGCTTTGTTGAGGGTTTTCTGAGTGATTGTAAAACTTCCTAGCTTGACTAAGTGAGGCTTAGGGCAAGGAGGAAGAGCTCCCTCCATTGTACATCTAGTTGATCTTCGTTCATCAAAGAGAAGTTGCTCTTCCTAGTGTTTGGTCTTCAAGTTTGGGTAAAGCTTGGTAGACACTTGGTTTGTTTCTCTATTTTATATTTCTGTTTAATAAAATCTTCATTGCTTATCTATACTTGCTTCTCTGATTAATATTGCTATTGTCTTCTAATCTACTTGGTTGATCATTACTAAAAAGGAAGGTAAATTTTCATTAAAGAAAAAGTGCATAAACTTGGTTAAGATTTTAATCAACCAATTCACCCCCCCTCTTGGTTGTCTGTGGGACTTACAATTGGTATCAGAGCTTGGTCTCCTTGAGATTAAGCTCTAACGGCTTGGAGTAAAGATGACAACCAGTCATGCTATGTTTGTTGAGGGGCAATCTGTTACTAGGCCTCCCATGTTCAGTGGCTCTAACTATGTTAGCTGGAAAGAACGAATGATTATCTTTTTGCAATCTATCGATATTGAACTATGGTTTATTGTGAGTGAAGGACCGCATGAAGCTAACTTTCTTGATGCAGATACAGGGTTGCTTCGGCCAAAAACAAGAGTTGAAATGAATGCTCAAGATAGGACTAACCTCACATTGAATGCCAAGGCCATGAATGTTATTTATAGTGCCCTAGATTCAAATGAATCAATCAGAGTAAAAGGCTGCAAATCGGCTAAAGAAATGTGGGATAAACTAAGAGAAATCCATGAGGGTGGTGACAATGTGAAAGAACAGAAAAAGGCCATCTTGGTCACGAAATATGAATCATTTAAAATTGAACCTCTTGAGGATATTGACAAAATGTATTGCAGGTTCACTGACTTGATCAAAGATCTCGAGGCGTTGGGCAAAGAGTACACCTTGGGAGAGAAGAACAGGAAAATTCTCAATGCCTTGGGCAAAGAATGGGAAAATAAAGTGACAGCAATAGAGGAGGCCAAGGATTTAAGTTCTGTGCCTATTGAATCTATCATTAACTCACTAACCACTTATGAGTTGAAACTGAAATCTAAAGTGCAGGAG